ATTTCATAACTTTAGACTCGATTTCAACCGCGACAACGATCACTGAATATTGTAGGATCGCATATGCTTCGAATATGTTCATTTGAACGAATTTCATGACCCCATACCAAAACTTTGTATTACCTTTAAGAAAGGAAATAGTGAGAATGAGTATTTTTGTCAAGTTAATCAGTTTGTTGAATGGTGCGATCGCCACAACCTATATTTGAATGTTCAAAAAACCAAAGAGATTATTATAAACTTTCGACGTGATGACGTTAATCATATCCCCTTGTATATTCAAGAACAGACAATCGAACACGTACATGAATATAAGTATATTGGTACCTTGATTGATGATAAGCTACGATTTAATAAGAACACCAACGCTGTACACAGTAGAGCTAATCAACGGATATTTTTTCTAAGGAAGCTCAACAAATATAACGTTGACAGGACGATCTTGCATCTTTTCTATCAGTCTTTCATTCAAATTGTTATTCTATTCAATCTCATTTGTTTTATGGAAATCTCACACAAGCAGACAAAACTAAACTCGAACGTCCTAGGCAAATTGCTCAACGTCTTATCGGCATTGAATTGAATTGAATTACCACCCCTATCAGTTTTGTTTGAATATCGCTTATTGACTAAAATATCTTCTATCATGACAGACCCATCACATCCACTATTTTCTTGTTTTACTTTTAACCGCTCATGAATCCGCCTGCGTGTACCAATAACCCGTAGAGCCAGATACAGAAATTCTTTTATTCCAAATTCCATGCACATCTATATTGCACAAATAACACGAAGTTCTCAGTTTTGGGCGAAATAATAGCGATAATAGCGATTATGATTATTTGTTAACTTTTTCTCTACCCACCCAGTAAAATAAATTTGTAGGGATTGGGTTGGAAAGTTTTCCACCTTATCACCTCTGTGGGTCAAACACATCCGTTGTTTAGCTCTGTTGCTGATTTTTTTTTCTACAGTACTATGGTGATGTATTTTCTGTCATGCATTATGATTGGAAATTATGCCATCTCTCCTTCTCTATCTCTCCCCTTTCCAGGCACGTAGCCACGGGGGGGGGGGGGGGGGGGGGGGGCACGTGCCCCCCCCCCCAAAAAAAATTTTCCAAGATCGGTTGAACTTTTTTTTAATGATGTCATTATGAAATTGAAATAAAGCTGAAGTATTCTGAAACGTACAAATTAACACATTAACATATACGCACTTTAAAAAATACATCCGTCTCAAAATTGTAATTTTAAAGGAAATTTGGGTGTTTTTGAAAAACACCCAAATTTCCCGGCCCTGCAATGAATGAGGTGTAACCGTAAACAGAATAACTAACGATTCATTAACTACCGCTGTTGTTTATCTTGCAAAATAATGTATTGAAATAATTTTAAAGTTAGCAATTAAAGTAAGAACTTGAACAGATCAACGTGCAACTTCCTATCCCCAAGGTTTTGTTCATTACGACACTGACTGCAAGGACGATTTCGACGATTTCGACTAAAGTCACTACACGATGACACGTAACAAAAGAGACTGCATCCAATCAACTACCCTGATTTTATCGGTGCAAACCAATCGGCTTTAATCTGCTGTACCTTGATTATCACGTGTCTTTACCGTAGCCAATCAATATGTGCAAGAACAAAATAGCACGTGCTTTCAGCCTCCAACAATAGGCGTGGCTTACAAGGCCAGAAATATGTCCGGGGACCCAAAAAGAAATATACATAAGCCACGCGACTATGAATAGGCTGCAGATAACATGAATTCCATTAATGTTAATATCGGGCTAGTGTATATACCAGTACGAACACCTGTACGAAATTCCATTATGACTGACAGATCAAGCAGGGACCGTCTCAAAATATGTTGAAAATCACTTGGCTCTGTAAACGAATTAACGCATACACAATTCAATCCCCGAAGCCTACCTGTTTTCCGTGTTAGATAAATTTTCTATTCTTGTTTACAAAGTTTTAAATCGGCTCTTTTAATACGTGTTTAAAGCCCTCACCTGTACATTGTACTGGTCTAGCGCCCCCTCTACTCCGAAGAGATCACGAGACAATAAATGAAAGCCATCATGCATGTGACGATCTTTAGTACTGTGTATTTGGAAAGATAATACAACAAGTCATAAAAACAATTAGCTGCGCATAACGCAATATGAAACACTTTTATCATTCGGTTATATTTTCCAATCAAACTGCACTTCTCTGATAAGTTCTTCTTTCAAGCTGCCTCCTCTGTGCATTTATTTGTTTACTTATTTATATATTAATAAATGTAATTAATTATTTTTTTCCTGGGGAGGGGAGGAGGAGGGGCGTAAACCGAAACCACATTCTTATTAGCGCCGCTTACCATCTTTAATAAGTGCCCCTTCCCCATGATGTCTTTCGTCTATGTCTGATCGTCAACGAAATAGAGTTAAGTCATTTGTCAATTCTGTTTGTTGCTACGGCAGGCAACCAGGGAAAACGAATTCGTTTAATAATATTATGAAAATGCAAGCATCATTTTAAGCAAACAGAACTTTGTTATTCCTAGCTCGTTTTTTCCTGATTGAGGTGTCATATGAAAGGGTAAAAAATGAACTTTCTAGAAAATGTGATTTTCTTTTTGAAAATTCTGATACCGTCCGCCAAATGACTTTTTGGTTCCCTCTCTTCAAATAAATTGTTATCACTCAGGCGTGAAATATGAGTTGCATCAAATGAAAGAGTAGGATCTAAGCTTTACAAATATGTGCCATTTATTGATCATAATTGTGATTAAATTATGATAAAACATCGATAGTTCTCGGTTTTCTTTTGTACGCGCCGGTATACGCGTTTATGGTAATTTTCTAGCCTCCAGGGCCAGACCGGAGGGGAAAAACAAAAGGGGGGAGGGGAGTGGTGATTATGCCCATTGGCGAGACTTCCGGCCACCGCCTGCGCCTGCCGGTCTTTAGATCTTCAGTAGATCAAGATGGATGCTCACGATACCGACCCAGACCTACCAAGCCTCACGCACATAGCTGGTCCATTATACTTCGTTTTGCATAGTAGAATAGGAACTGTTCATTGTACATTGTGTACTTTTTGTAAACACTACATGCACTTTAGATCGAACTTGAAAGGCAATTCTTTTTTTTTAAAGAAAGGACTTATGATGTCTGCGCATTAAACCTATTTTGAAGTGTACAGGTTGATGTTATTGCTTCTCTATTGAAATAAATTGTTACGTTGTGAATTTTAAATTTGGTTTATTTTACACTGTCAACAACTTAAATGGTAATCCCTATCGCACTTCAAAATGCTCAAGTGGTTACAGTTTTACAATACTTGTTAAGGAGTACACTTTTTTTAAAACCCGTTTAGAGTGTGAAATCGGGGGAAAAAACCATGCGAAATCCTCATTATGATGGATGTATTTTGGTTTCAGAAGAAATCCTCGTTTAGAGGGTGTCGGGAAAACCTGTGGTCACACATGCTTACAGTACATGACTGAGAACCCCGGCTAGGATTGACGCCCTCTGGGTGTACACGCTCAACACTTCTCTAAAATCGTTCCAAAAAATAATATGGATCTGCTTTATCAACAAAATGCATACAAGATCAGTACTATGTGAAACACTGTTTGTCGTCAAATGAAACGAAGTTTGTTTCACATTTTCGGTGTGAGGATGGTTACATTCCTGTAGTGTGCAGCCTTGTCTTTGTTTTCGTCTTGTTTTGTCTTGTTTTGTCCTGTCATGTCTTGATTATCTTGTCCTGTTATGAATTGTTTCGTTATGTCTTGTCTTATCTTATTATGTCGGTTTCCTGTCTTTTGTGTCCCGTTTTTTTAGATTCTGTTCTTTTTGTATATTTCGATTATTTAGACATTTTAATTTTTTTAATGAAATTATGTTATTATAATATATCCATTTTACTGTGATTATTAAGACACTTTAAAATGAGTTATGAAAATACTGTTCACATTATATTTATTCTTGGGAACCTACAAAAACAAGCTATGCTTTTCAGAAGGTTCCTGTTTCATTTTATAATTTTCAACTTACTTTGACCATTGTCAACTATGTTCTTTAGTGTGCAAACAATTAAAATAAGAAATTGAATAAATTCGAATCAATTAATCAAATATATACCCATCATCTCTTCATTTTTGTTCAAATAAAATGTGTTCTATTTCAATTTCATGAACTTGGACAAATTGGAATGTATAAGTATACCGACATCTCACCATCAGCTCTACCAGTTCGAGGAAACAAGGACAAGGGTACGTATTTGCCACTTATTGGACACAAGGAAGGGTCGAATTCGTTACAATCTCCTGATTATTAGTAAAGTAATGAAACCTTGGTAATGAGATAGGTCCTATTGCTTTGATAGCAAACCTCAAAGATTGGCTCAAAACCCGATACAATGACAACCTTGTCGCCAAACTTGAAAGTGATCCGGTTGCTATGGACATCTCTTTCACTTCAGTCTTCCGAAACCGTTACCCCTCCCCTTTATCTTTCTCTCTCTCTCTCTCTCTCCCCTCCTTTTCTCACCCCCTCTCTCTCACCCACTCTCTCTCTCTCTCTCTCTCTTCCTCTCTTCTCTCATTTCCCCAGCTCTCTCTCTCTCTCTCCCCTCTCTCTCTTCTCTCTTTTCTCTCCTTTGCTCACCCCCCCTCTCTCTCTCTCTCTCTCTCTCTCTCTCTCTCTCTTCCTCTGTCAATCCATGGTCAATCTATGCCCCCTTTCTTTATCTATGTCTCAATCTTTTTTTTCTCCCCCGTCGAATGATCTGAAAGGTCTTCCTGTTCTAGATAAAAACTCCTGGCAATATCGCATTGTTTTCTGGGCGAAACCCTCACCTAATATACCCACTGTAAATATTGCATATTAATGAGATTATTTTATGATATCGATATCAATTTGTATACGACACGCCACGCATTGTGTCATTGACCTGTCGTCTGCTGTTGGATCGCAGTAGCGAAACGATCGGCCGTTTGGAAAGGGCAGGCGATTGCTTCCATCAACCTTTGCCAACACCGCATCGTCGCGGTATGACGACTCTGAAGCCCCTCCAGTACGTCGCGACCAGGCCGAGGTCATCGATCACCAAGCGGACATCGTCGATGCCCACGAGGAGGAATTACGGGCCTCAGTTGCAGGGCGTCATGACGGTCGTCGGGCGATCGGCGTTGTCGAAAGAGTTGATGGCTTCCTACAAGCACACGAAACGGCTCGGACCCTATCTCCTCGGCCCGACCATCGGCGAGGGAAGCTTCGCGAAAGTGAAAGAGGCGATGCACGTTCTCGTTGGCGAAAAGGTGAGTTGTTGATTCATTTCCTTTAATTTTCATACAGTGGAAATTTGGTGTTGAATTTACAACATATTAATATGTAGGAAAAATAGTTAATAGCAGATATGTATTAAAAACTAAGGAGCGCAAAGTAATTGTTTGCGTTTTAATTTGATCATGTTTTCCTTGGCTTTGGTACCGGGCCGGCTATGGTTTCTAAAATGTAATCGTTTCAATTTCATGTTTTCAAGTTAACATGAACACTTTAACATATAGGACGAATCCACTTATGTTGAAACTATTATGGTTTTTATCATTCGTTGTATGTTATCATTAGAAAATGTCAAATATGAATTTTAAAAACTTTATTTCTGAAATACATACAAGGTTTAAATTTGTTAATGCTATAGTTTAGCAGGGAATTTATTTTACAAAAGTTCATAATAGTTTAATGTGTTTTATTGTAATTATATTTACAGTAAGAGTTCATTTTGTAGTGCGGACTATTCCGTATTATATCTTCGATACTTTGGTTAAGACACCCTTTCTAAGTTTTATGAATAATGTTATGTATATCATAAGTCGATCATAACTTGATAATTAGCTGTCACCTTTTGTTATACCGTCACCTTGTCATTGTCGCATTGAACTTGTTGTCATGACAACCATAGACCCATTAAAAAACATAATTCGTCAGTTACTGATGATTTAAAAATGGTCGTACTATTGCAACGAGTTTAGCTTATTCCTAAATTGCAGCACGTCTAATTCATTTATCGTATTAGATTCAGTTGTACCAGTCTTTGTCTTTATTACAATGCCAAATAATATATGAGGTAGAATATTCTACTTCATAAGACGGAGATTGTGATTTTCTATTCGTTGAATGCGTAGTATGAGGGAACAAGCAGCAATCAAACAAAATCACATTTGAATAAATGAGATAAAGTGAAAAGCGAGACCTCCAGAATCTATGAATTAAAAAAAATGTAATAGAGAGAATCAAATGTTATTTTACGGATCTTTAAACATTACAGAGTAGAATACGGGAGCAAATGCGAAAAGTCGTTTCAGCACATTTCTTTTATGCTCTTATGCCTCGTTTATGCATTACATTATTTAAGAACATTAAATCACAAAGAAAAGACATCGGCAGTTGTCATTTGCACTCCCTCCTTGGTCTTCGCAATGTTCGGCCTGTGGATGCTTTCTGGTGATAGAGTGATCCTGGTGGAATTTGGATCTGACGGGCGAATATACTATATAGACACACGTTTTTGTTTTAATCCAACGTAAACATTGAACAATGTTTAAGTATGATTTCCCTTTATCGTGTTGTTTATGATCTAATCTGTTCTCACTTTGATTAACTATATTATACATGAAACATACGCCCATTATACCAAACAAGAATTATATTGGGCAAGATGAACGAACCGTTTGCCACAACCAGTATTCACAGACCACGGGTGCTATATTTAGGGGTGATTGTTCACGGTCATTTAGATTAGAACAACATCAAGAAACGGGCGAACTTTGGACAAAGGCGCATAATTATGTAAAACAAGTCATTCGCATCGGTCAGTTTGGTCTAAATTAGGGCCGAGGTGACCACGCTCGTCTTTGATTTCCAGATCCAGTTTCTTGGACTAAAAATGTCACAAAGAGCAGGATGAGAGAGAGAGAGATGAGCGCGGCATTCACGAAAGCAGTTTAATTTTAGAACGTCTCTTTGTGTGGGCTATATACATTTTCAGATTAGGATGATATGACTTAATTATCTCAAGTATCTCATTCTCTTAATTCGAGTCGAGGGATGGACCTTTTGAAAGTATTATATCACATTTAATATTTCGTTTTTTTTCGAACTTCGGTTTTAAGCTGTAGATCTGGTCCCCGTCTTATAAAGAGTTGCGATTGATCCAAATCAATCGCAAGTTCGCATCTCCTATCTCTTATGTACATAGATGCGATTGATATCAATCGCAAATTAGTTGCGATTAATATCAACTCTTTATAAGAGGAGGTCTGATGTTTAAGATGAGGACTATCTGGTTTACAACCTAAACTGAATTAAAGACAATGTGAAGTAGTAACAGAACACTGATTTGTTTTTTCTTCAAAAATTAGTTATGCAAAAAGCTCTTATTGACCGACATACATGTCTGTACCTTAATGATCTCAGCTTGACACGATGTCCATTTTCTCATGGACACTAAGGCTGATTAGTAACGCGACGGAAGGCAAAGAGGGCGGGAGAATTCACTCAACCTAGATCAAATAATGTATGCAGTTTGGATTCTGTCCATTAAAATACTATTATTCTTATCAGGTGAATGAAATAATGTGTAATGAAGAACTTCACAAAGACTTTTGTATTAAATATGCCGTTTTTGTAACGTAACCAAATTTAATGCATAAGTCTTTGTAAAGTGCCTCAATACAAATTATTTCATTCACCAGATAAGAATAATAGTATTTCAATAAACAGAATGTAAACTGCATATATTAAGTGTTGCTAGGTAGGTTAAGCCATAATGTTTGTCCTACCTGGCAACAATTAATATATGCAGTTCGGATTATGTCTATTGAAATACTATTATTCTTTTCAGGTGAATGAAATAATTTGTATTGTGGCACTTAACAAAGACTTATGCATTAAATTTGGTTACATTACGAAAATGGCTTCGCCTATTTGATTACATTACGAAAATTGCCTATTCCTGCCACGCAATACAATACAGACGGGACTACACGACTAGCACAACTTGTCTCGACCAGGGATATGTGACTCACATATCCCTGTCTCGACCAAGCCGCAAAACGGCTTTTTATAATTTTTCAACAATTTATCATCAAGTTTTAAAACAATTCATGTTATACGTTCGCGTTCACCGAAAAGCGAAAACCGCTTATTGTAACGAGGGCGGTCTGTGTGCGACGATCGTAACCCTGAGTGCTCCTGCGTCGCAGAGCGAGTTTTCGCTCAGCGACAGACAGACCTTCTACGACGCAGAGCACTCGGGGTTACGGCCGTCGCACACAGACCGCCCTCGTTACAATATGCGGTTTCGCTTTTCGGTGAACGCGTACGTATAGTACGGAGGTATTGCAATGCATTTGCCAATCTTAGGCAATTTTCGTAATGTAACCAAATTTAATGCATACGTCTTTGTGAAGTGCCTCGATACAAACTATTTCATTCACTTGATAAGAATAATAGTATTTCAATAGACAGAACCCAAACTGCATACATACTGTTGTTGCCAGTTCGACAAACACTGACATAGATTGGTAGGCCGTGAAACATATACTGTAATCTAAATGGAATCGAAAAATGATTTGGATATAAACGTATGCGTAGGGGCTCTTTTTTATTCAAAAAAAATCCTTTAAAAACTTGTATTTATCAAGTAATTCGTACATACATCATGATAAAAATAATCATATAAATCACTGCACAATGATTACAAAAGGTAAAAACAGAAGAAAAACGTCAAACCATACAGAAATAGTGGTTAACACTTCCTTTTCTACAGTGTATATCAAAGGATTATAATCAAAATAATTCTTCCACAGGGGACCATTTCGTAAAGTGCATTCCTTCAATCTTCTTCTGTTTTGCAATGCTAAGTTTTATGTATTCCGTATTACTGATAAAAGACGTTAACCCACTTAAACAAGGATTTAGGATTTTGCATTATTGGATATAAATATATCTTTTAAACACGTAGGGGCTCTTTGCCAAGAACGTTTTATGGGTTCGAAAATCATTAGCGTTATTAAATCGTTAATTCAGTAGTTGCACAGAAAACAGCAGCGGCAGTGTAGCGGCATTCGATTGTACTAAGTTAATATTGTTAGGCTTTAACGTTGTCACCAGTATCGCAATCCTCATCATCATCACCATCATTACCACCCCCACCGTCACCACCATCATCAGTATCACTTTTATTTTTGTATTTATTGATTCAACCATAAAATAACATCAAATGAAAACAATAACAGTATATCAGTTTAAAACAGTAAATAAAATTATGGTGAGGAACACCGAAAAGCAAAATGCTTGTTATTGGTATCCCGATCAGTATTAGCATATTCATCATTTTCATAATCTTTAATGGTATTTTCGTCAATGTTTGTTTTCTAGGTTGCCATCAAGATAATTGACAAGAAAGCTGCGAGGGAGGACGCCTACCTCCACAAGACGCTCCGTAGAGAGGCGGGGCTTCTCCAACTTCTTGGCCACGCCCACATCGTACGCCTTCTTGAAGTCATGGAAACGGACAACAACCTTTACCTGGTACTGGAGCTGTGTGGGGGTGGGCCCTTGTTGGATAAGGTGTGTGAGAAGGGCGGATTGGAAGAGGGCGTGGCCAGACGGTACATCAAACAGGTGGCTTCGGCCGTGTACCACATGCATCAAATGGGCGTGGTACATAGGTAAGATGATTTTGATAAGTTTTATAGAATAAAATAAGTGAGGCGGGGTATAAATAGTTGTGTCAAAATGTTAGGTAAATTGAATTGCAGGGATTCTTTCCATTTAAAGTTGAAATACCCATTCATTTGCAAATTTATGTTAATTGTAATCTTGAGGGTTGTATTTGTAATTGCAAAATAATGATCATTATCTTGTTAGTTAAAGAACTAAATGTAGCGATTAGCAGGGTTATGGTTATGGTTTATATGAAGGTTCTTAAAGGTAAAGACCAGTTATGGTCATGCGATTGCATTGTGAAAGAAACGTTGTGGAATCGATCAGAAAAGGTTGATCATCTAGCATCTAGCATCTGCAAGGTTCTGGAATCATCAAAATGATAAGAAATTTGGCACATTCTTCGTAAAGTTACAAGCACTATACACAGAAAGATGTATATGGGACTACCCTATATTTCTCACAGACCATGAGAGAAACAAATTTACCAAATATATGAATAAGTAGACGGTTTCCCGGCAAATTTTTGATCATCATGTATTAGTCAAAACATATTCTTTCACATGATTGGTAATGAGAGCTTCCATTTCATTTTTTGAAATTGGGGCGTTTCCAATACTGGTCTTTACCCTTAACACTTTCTGCTCCAATAGAAAATGGCAAGCATTAAAACTACTGCACTGCACGTATGTATGTAGTTTTTTTTTTTTTGCTGTCCTACATAATCATTTGTGAGTGTAATCAAATTATAATTATTTCTTTCATGTCTTTAAAAAAACAATCGACAGAGACCTGAAAGTCGAGAATCTTCTTCTTGACGACAACGACAAAATTCGAATAATAGGTAAGTTCAACTTTCAATAATAATATGGCGAAGGGTTAGGCTACGTTCTTTGTTGCATCACCATTTTAACTCTTAATCAGACGGTTCTGAATTCGGATTTCGGATCGAGGCTTACAGAATGATGGAGGGAAATTAATATTTTGATGATGGAAAGGAATCACTTGGAAAATTGAACACTTATAATTTCATGCTTTAATATTGCTTCCTATCTCAATTACTGAAATGATACTTATATTATTTTTATTGTTTAATTTTTGGTCTAGATTTTGGACTGAGTAATTTCATCGGGAATCTGGAACGAGAAACCGATCTTCGAGATGCTAAGAAGAGGGAACGGGATTTCTCAAGCCGCAAACAGGCAGACGTACGCGCTAGCCGTAGAGTGAGCCGAACCGTCGGAGGAAGGAATGGCGCCACGGGTGATGATGGTGGGGGACCAGGTAGACCAGGTGAGCCCAAGGGCGTGGCCAGGGCGCGGCTTCCTTCTGATGACGGGACCAAACGAAGGACCAGAGGATCTTCTCTTCGAGAGGACAACGGCCAAGAAACGTGGCGCGAAAGAGCGGGACTGCAGCGGAAAAGCAGCAAGGAACACCCGAACATGACTAGATCCAACCCGAAACAAAATGGCGTCCGAGTTAATGGAGGGAATGTTCGATTTCCTGGCCAAGACATACATCGTCGGATGGGCGCCGAGGAGCAGGATTCGCCAGAAAAGAGACGGAATATGCTGAGGAATAGAACATTGGATGTATTCGGGACTAGGGATTTTGCGGGAACGCTTTGCGGGAGTCCCGCTTATGCAGCGCCTGAGATTATTGCCAGGAAGCGATATGGCCCCAAAGTGGATGTTTGGAGCATGTAAGAAAATCTCTTATTATCTTCTTGTATTAACTTTTAATGTCTGATTGTATTGGGTAAAATTAAAGGAGGAAAATATAGAATACGTAGAAACATTTTATGCGCTGGAATCTGGATAATCGTATATATGGAGAGAGAGGAAAAACCAAAAAGAGAGAGAGAGAGAGAGAGAGAGAGAGAGAAAGAGGGGGGGGGGGGGCAATGGGAAACTTTGGTTCAAGCTACGCAACCAATATTCTGTCATTTCCTTTCGCAATGTATTTATTTCCACGAAAGTTGCCAAACCTAATGTATTGGTTATTTCTTTACATATACAGTTAACAACTAAATTGTTCATACAGTTACCAAGTTTGGTATTCATTAAAAGTACATGCAAAATTGATTTGCCAAATTTATGTTTCGTTATAGAAGTGTGACATAATTATTAAAGCTCACATCTAAAGGCATACGTCTAAAACTTTTCAACAAATGCCCCAATTCAACCAGTCCACCTTCCTTCTTGAGTTACGAAAATCACTATGGATATCAAATTTACTATAGGAGCATGAGTAATTCAGTTGTTTAATGAAGGATTATGTGTGTGAGCTATCATAATTTTGGAGTCGACAAGATATAAGGATGTACCACTGTTAAATATATATAAACTTGTTTATGTGTGTGTTAAAGGAAATATATTTCCAATTGCAATCAAGGGATATATTTTTCTGATTTTGTTTAAATCACATGTACATATTTGAGATGGCATCTTACTCTGTTGTTAAGTTTTCATACTTGAGATTGGGAACATAATTGTATAGATAGATATAGATTTCATACACAAAAAATGTCAGAAAGATTTCCCCTGAGAATGCCATTGCTTTCAATTGACATTGTTCGCTATAGATGTATATTTTTCTATTTGCATTCAAGTCTCAAGAGCAAATATATTCTGCTGTTATAGCACAACCCACATGTTTGGCACATTCTTTTGTCCAAGGCGAAAAACAGCCAATACACAATCGATTTAATAAAACACCTTTCACAATGAATAAAACCTTTAACTGGGTCACAATTATTCAAACAGGACACACACACACACTCCCATAAAAAAGCAAGTATACAATAGTTATAATCACCTAATGGCTTCAATGCAATATTTGTCTGTCTTTGGACAAAGATCACAATTTTTGGTCATTTATGACTATGGTAACGTTCAATGTTTAGACGTTTATCTGTCCACCTAATATTGCCTAATTACTGTAAATTATGACAACGGTGTTGCAGAATAAATCTTGACATACAATTAGGTTATTAATGGACATAAATGGACCCCAGGGATGGTATATTTTGTGTGTACATTAGAGTAATTTAGATATCGGCTTGACGCGAAGGATGGCTTTATCTAGTCGTCGGTCAAATATCACAATTGATATTTTGTTGACATTACTTTTTATGATCCCTGTCTGTTTTCAAGATAATATTGATGTTTTATAATTATACAGGACTTGTTTGACGAAGGCCTTTTTTCAATTTAAATACATACCAAACTTTGAGGATAGTTTATTTAACGTAAGCTGAAAGTGTCGTGATATAACTTTTACGTTGACCCTGTTTAATATGAACAATTCAATAACAAAGTAACTTTTTACCAGTATTAGTTTCTTTTATCACATTTAACAAAGATAATTTCTGTAAATACGGAAAAATATGGAGATTAGCAAATGTTATTTCCTTTTATATTCGTTGTATGCATTAATAAAATAACCTAATTGTTCATGTTATCGTACCTTTCGTAATCATTTTCTAAAATGATAAATGTTGAAAGATTTGATTTATAAAGTACTCCCACCATGCGCAGGAATAATTTTTTCTTCTTCTCGAGACCATTTTTATCATGCATCTTTTCTCGCTTCCTCATCCTATAGCTATCTCCTGCTCTATCAGCTAGTCCCCTGCATCTCTCTCTCTTTCTCTCTCTCTCTCTCTATATATTTCTCTCCTTATCTCTCTTTCTCTCTCTCTTTCTCTTCCTCTCTCCATCTCTCTCTTATTCTCTTTACTTCTTCCTCTCTTCCTCTCTCCATCTCTCTCTTATTCTCTTTACTTCTTCCTCTCTCTCTCTCTCTCTCTCTCTCCATCTCTCCCTCTTTCTCTCTTCTTCTCTCCATCTCTCTCTCTCTCTCTCTCCCTCTCCCCTCCCTCTAACACATCCCTATATCAAGAGCGGATGGTCAATTAAGAGTTTCAATTCCATATATTCTTTTATCGTTGTCACATACAGTGGGGTCAACGCGTATGCGATGTTGACTGGGACTCTTCCCTTCATCGTAGAGCCGTTCAATCTCCGTCAGTTACTGTCCAAGATCCAGAAAGGCGAGGCGGGACCACTGCCTTCCGGCCTCTCATCAGGTACGGAATACCAACAAATAAAGACATTTTGATTGCTTTGGACTAGATGTGATTCATTGTGCGTATACATGTTTAAGCCCCACTGCACTACGTATATCTACTTGCGCCCCGCCCCTAGCAAACGATGCCTAATCGGTGCCTGTTGGTCCCCCATGATCTTTTTTTTCTTATGTTAATTGAGAGCTGATTTGATGAGATAACCACCTATCAGTGACATTGCAGGGTGGTCTAATCCCCCTGGCCAAATTACAGACGGGCTTTAAAGATATCGTATAAAATTGAAAGGAATATATATTGCCAGAATAATCTATGAAAGTTGATAATTAGCTTATATTCTAATAAGAAGATCGAAACTTATTTTGTCGAAATATGAACTTTAGGCAAAATCAGAGGCCTTGGGCATCGCCTGTTGAAATGTGCGGAGATTACCCTGACATTACGTAATCTGAATAAATTATTATTTATGTGGTATATACTAGTAGGGTATAGACATTGTCCTTGAGATGATTCTCGAAGTCTCTACGATCGTGGGGAGAGAGTATGAAGAGAGGATACTAACCCCTTCCTCACTAAGCCCACACCTCGGGCGATCTCGGCGCAACTCGTAGAGAAGTCGGAATACTTCGGCATAAGTCGGAAATACGTGGGACAGTTCGCGTTTAGTATACTCAGATGTGTTTTTTTCACGTTTTAAAGAATCTCATATAATGTCTTTTGCTAAAATGAAATCTTGTATAACTTGGAAACAGATATTGATCTTGGTCGGCAAATTTTGCGGCAAAACGGTTTGGAGAGAACGAGAGAGTGAAAGAGAAACTTAGAGAGAGAGAGAGAGAGAGAGTATGTGTGAGGGGGAGAGTCAGATAGATAGAGAGAGAGAGAGAGTATGTGTGAGGGAGAGAGTCAGATAGAGAGAGAGAGAGAGAGAGAGAGTATGTGTGAGGGAGAGAGTCAGATAGAGAGAGAGAGAGAGAGAGAGAGAGAGAGAATGGAGAGGTGGTAATGGTCATGTAAGTTTTTAGATTTACGTTGTTTGGAACAACGTCGACGCACGCCAAGTTGAAAACTATTGAAAGACATTGTTTCCATGAATTTCCGAGTGCGTTTAAACGAAATGTTCTATAAAGTTTATACCTATTTTGGGCCAGATGAGTTGACTCAGTATTAAGCTGAGTTCTACCGCACATTGATTGTGTTTCACTATAGCGCATAAACATATTAACCGAAGCACGACCTTCGCTTGAAAAAAAACTCCCTTTCTTTGTAGAATCAGGATCAAGTTCATTTTGGTCAGCTGCCTACGTAAACATTCTCACATTGCAAGGTTTAGAAAACAGACGTCACGTTTGTGATGAAAGTTGGAAGATTTACAGAAGCGAGACTATGTTGGCAGCCTTGTACCCAGGTGTATCGTTTCCCAAGCTAATAAACACGGTTACACTAGCATGGGAAACAGCCATGTTTCACTATATGACGTGGATTTGTGAACGACAAAAAAGGGGATGGTTTGATTGGGCTGCATATAATGTGTTTATCAAGATGTCGTGATGATTGCATCAACCCCCCCCCCAAAAAAAAGGGCATTTGAAAGGAATTCATAAGTGTCACTCTCTGTAATATTGAGAAAGGAGTCAGTAATTTGAAATATATATATATCCGATGAGGTATACACCGCCCCATTGAAGGACCTTTTAAATAAAAGGCATGTTTTTAACGTGACCAATGCATCACGAATTTATCTTCCCAAATGACAAAGAGAATAAAGATAACGCTATCATTAAACATATTACAATATTTACATGAGTCCCTTAATCGAGGCTATTCATGTTTTCCTGTCAAGATTGACTACAGTTTGCAACAACTATTAGTTAATTGTAATGTTCTTGGAATTAGACCCCTAAAGCTAACATCATTAAGGGTACGCGTATTTTTTTCTTCTCTTCAGACTGCAAGAGTTTTATCCGCTATCTTCTTGAACCAGACCCGGACAAGCGACCGACAATTTACGACGTCCTATGCCACCCCTGGTTGGCAGGTGTCTACGAGCCACTCCGCTCCTTGAGTCCTAGTACAGCCCCTAGCTACGCCCTCACCGCCACGCCCCCTTCTAGTCCGTGCTCTCCGGGGCGAAGGGTCAGTCGCATGCTGCTCGATCACGATATCATCAGTTACATCCGGGAAACCCTGGGGATCAAATCGACGCACGTGAGCGAGTCCGTGCTCGCAGGGCGCGCCGATGAGTACTCGGCGATCTACCATCTCCTGGCCAAGCAACGCGAGCGGGACGAGGTGCCCAAGATTGCTCAGAGGCTGCAGGAGAATTGGGAAACCTTTCGGGCATGTTCCCGTCAGGAGGATGACGAGGACGTCGATCTGGACGATGAAGCTGATGGTGTGACAGAGGCTGGTGGTGCGACAAAGAAACGAGAAGGATCTCCAAGACAACGAAGGCCGGTGGGTGATTACGATGATGACGATGACATGAAGACGGTGGCCGAAGAGGTGATTAACGAACCAAAATTAATAGATTAAAAATGTATTGACTCGAGTGACTTCTTGAAGACATCTTAATTAATTCTGATAAATTTGTAAAGGCGAATCCAACATTGTGATGAAGGCATACAGAGTAACTACGGAATGAAAAAACGGAATCCGCACTTCACTGAAAGAGAATTATGCGTTTGACAATTTTGAATAAAAATACTCAATGTATCAAGTCTTCCTTCATGAACCAAGAACGTTAATGGTAAAGAGCAATAATACGCTATCCTTGAAGATGCATGTTAACCCTTACTGTACTGGGCTATTTTGAGCACCCTCTGATTGGGGGGGGGGGGGGGTGCCTGGGAGGCCCCCCCCCCTATGATCTCGGCCGTCGAATGTCCGATGAACACGAAAATTTGCATATTTGTAGATATTTACGTAAGGAACAAAATGGTATAATTAGTTTTTTTCCTAATATGCAAACTTTTGTCGTTATAGCCTAATTAATTATGCAAAATGCTAATTTTATGCATTTTACAGAAAAATCTACATAATTGTCCGTAGACTTGTGAAGAATCTTGAAAATGTATTGAATAAATGTTTCCTTCATCTCAAATTCGTGAGGTTTCATTATTTTTATGATATTTGAAAATGCATAGGTTAATTTGCATAAATTATGAATACGCAAATTGCGCATTCATGAATATAAAATCTGGAACTATATTTAGGGAACTAGAATCATTACAAAAATTGTCAGACTCCACTTTTTGAATGTTGAATCTCATTATTTATATGAAACTTCTTTTCTAACACAAAATAGTTATTTGATGTAATCAATAATGATAATTTATGCAAATTTGATGCGATTTTCAACCATTTATTTTCTTATGTATTTTATTGTTTTTTATTTCTTATTATATCTATTGTTTTATTTCTTATGTATTCTTTTGTTCTGGAATACATCAAGTTACTCTGAGAAACATATAAAAGCAATTTGATATGAATTCTTATCTTCACATTTCTGCTTGTACATGAATATATGCAATTATAGCACTTTTTTGATGACATGCGCATACTAATTGTTATGTAACACCTTACAGGTATATCGGATTTTGACGAAAATGGTATCAAAATGTGTGCAAGACTTGAGGGAAAAAGTCATGAAACGACAATTCAAAATTCCAAGCGGTTGTGGCGCGATCTCCGAAAATGTCGAGGGGGGGGGGGGGGGGGGGCCTCCCAGCCCCCCCCCCCCCAGTACAGTAAGGGTTAACACTGTTTCTGTTTTATTTGCTCTATGATAATTTTCCATTTCTTTGTTATTTTTGTACAGACTGCTCTTCAGATCGCTGGCAAGAAAAATGGTAGTTTCCATTTCAAGATGGCGATGGTGATTGAAGAAGAGGCAGAGAGAGCTGCACGATCGCCAGCCAACGTCTCCTCGAGCTCCAAAGCGACAGAAACAAGCGCCATCTACCGCGAGGTTCTTGGGGAAATCCATTCGGAGCAAGCATCATCGTCATCACCGTCGTCGCCTACTAAATCCACATCTTCTAAAGACGGACAACGCACGGGAACACCGTTCGGTCAACCGCAGCGCCGCGGACATGGGAATCGAGTCAGCTCTGTGAATGATAGTCGCGCCACAAGTGCAGCTAGTGGCAACCCATGGATCATTATGCTTGGGCGAGAAAGAACGACGAGTACGATTCGGTCGGGCATCGGCGGCCCCGATACGCACGTTGAGAACGGAAATGTGCACCAATATGATGTGACGACAGCGTGTTTTCAAGGAGAAAAAGTGAATAAGAAAAACGATAAGAGTCAATCTAGAACTGAAAGGTTTGAATCCCAGAGGAGGAATTGGGAGTCGTCTGCGAAACATGGCAGCACAAATGGACGGGTTTCCCTTTCTAACGGCAGGGCGGTCAATTTAACATTCCAGCAATCGACTGATCCTACAGTGACGACATTCGTTAATCATTTCCGACACAACCAGCTACCTGATCGGCTATTGAGGCGATCAAATCTAAAGCATCCTTTCATTGCAGACAGGGCTGCAGGGGGTCCCGATGGACTTTTAGATCCACCAAAGTCCGTCACTTTTCGACGAAATAGATTCAACCTAGAGGCTGACACAAAACCGCGGGAAGCTGTAAAAGAGAGAACTGTCGCAAACACGATCGGTGTGCAAGCGCAGACGGTGACGAAGGCTGGAAACGGCAAAGGCAATCGCGATAGAAAACAAGAGGAAGCCGTCAAAGTTTACCGTTCGACACGCAAAACAGGTGAAGTCCCACGCGAGTTCTCGGACATTCGTAAGCAACGCCGACCTCCGAACCCGATCAAACGAAGACCTGTCGGGAAACCCCCGGTTACACTCTCCCGTAAACCTATTAAAGCCGCCAAAGGGAAGCCAAATCCACAAAAGCAAGAACGATCCGCCGCAACAACAACAGTCACGATGTCTGGACGACCTTGCACTGCAAGCCTACAAGATACACAGAACTGTATAAAAGAGGCAACAGTCAAAGGCAGTTGTAGTTGCTCGCGGACGAAAGGCAATCGAAACGTCGACGGTCCGGAGAACGATGATGGTGACATGGCGAAGTTGCCAAGGCGGTTCTCAACGAGTGACGAAGGGTATGATACCACTCACTCAATAGAGGGCGACTCCAACAAGAAGTTACCCGACATAGCACCACCAATTGTGAATTTGAGATGCTTGCCAGAGACCGAGATGGTGACTTTGTCGAAAACAATGAAAACTCTAAAACTCGGAAATACGAATGTCTGCTAACTGTTGCCTAGCCTCATTTTAGAAAATGATTCTTCTGTTCGAAATGAAAATCAGAAAATTATATCATAATAATAGTGACAAAATATTTGTTGTTGTCGCACACTGGCTGTTATGTAATGGTATTAACGTATACAAATTATTTATCGAGTCATAATAGTTTGACAATGCTTGTTGTATATTATTTCATGTTATGCGCTTTTACACTAAGTACTGAATGAAAAAGTAAAAACGAAAGACGAAGAAGAAGTAAATAACCGACCTAAAACCTTTGATAAAAATGAATGGATTAATGTATTAATATGTCGGAAAGACAGGGAGACGGTAGGAAAAGATTTCTTTTCATCTATAGAAGTTTGTCTTGGCGATATGGTAGATTTGTTCTTGTTACTTTTATATGGCTCTTTTAAGCTCGAGTAGCTAGAAGAGATCAAGAGAAATAATGTAATGCAACGTTGGAACTTGAAGAGCGCCATCTCGTGAAATATTATCACTTTAATGTCGGTGAAATGACTTGGCCTCTTCATTCCATTAAATCTTGTTTCCTCCCTTTTTAGATTAATAACTGCCTGTCTACCATTCTTCCACATTTTGCCATTATCGAAATGATCATGAAAACATACGTGTAATCACCAACATATTAGCATCTTTTTTAATGTTTGGTTCCAAGCATGTTTTGATTTGTCATTTTCAGTCTATATTTGCACTACCACCACTATCACCAGGCCACCACCACCAACGCCACTACTATTAAAAATCCCACCACCACCACATTTATCTTCATCAATTACCAAGAATATTCTTAATATTGTAATCATCAGCATTATCATAATCGACACCATTGTAATTTTTGATCAATAACAGATTTGATGATATAAATAAAGTGGTGCCTCCATTGATTTTTCCAAACATCATTCTCGTCCACATCTTAATAATCATCATTATCATCATCTTCATCATCATCATAATCATCATTATCATCATCTTCATCATCATCATTATCATCATCACCATCATCATCATCTTCATCACCGTCATCATCATTATCATCTTCATCACTGTCATCTTCATCATCATCATTATCATCATCACCATCATCATCTTCATCACCGTCATCATTATTATCATCTTCATCACCGTCATCATCATTATCATCTTCATCACCGTCATCATTATCATCTTCATCACCGTCATCATTGTCATCTTCATCACTGTCATCATTATCATCTTCATCACTGTCATCATTATCATCTTCATCACCGTCATCATTATCATCATCAGCATCCTCCTCCAACTCCCACTGCTCCTCAAAACACACCTTTATTAATTTGATCATCTTCAATGCCTTCCATGTATTTTTTTCCCTCAAAACTTTTAAAGCACTTTCAACCAGCTCTTCAGACAATAACAAACCATTTAGGTATCCAACAGTTATTCAATAAGTAGCCCTGAAAATGATTAATTATTCCAATATCATATATATATAAAATTTTATTTAAAAAATTTACAAAAGGAAAAATAATCATGCTATACTTCACATTCTTCATAAGTAGCACTTTGTCCATAAAAATCTGTTTTTTTTCTCTATTGGAAGTACTTATGCACTGCATTTATCAGTGCAATTTTACATAATCAACTTATGGACTCGATACTTTTACTGGTACCTGCATGTACATGTTACAATGTTTACTGTTCATATTTTCCTTACTTCAATACTAGTGTAATAACTTGCATGACATATTGTCTCAGTGAAACTATTTGTGCGCTAAATGATGAAAGTTGATGCATGTATCAATAGTCCTGTTCATCTTTTTTTTGTAGGTATAATAAATGCATATGGAATGAAAAAATTGTGGTAGTCTATGTTTTTCTACAAATTATATATCTTGAATTTTAAAAGAATACCATCAAGGTGTTCTCAATGTCTTGTTGTGAAAATCAGAATATATTTAATTAGAGTGAACTAGTATTTTAATCATTTTTTTTTTTTTACAAATCACCTTAACGCCTGTACAAGGTCAAACATGTATCAAAATCAATTTCCATAGTGAGTAAAAAGAAATAAAAAATACTAATTCAAGTGAATTAACCCTGTATTGATCCATCCAAGCATCCGTATATCTACACTATTCTACAGTCTGTAATTTAATCTACCCCAGTACTGATACATGTATTAACATCATCATGTAGATTGAAAGCTTGAGTTCTGGCACACAATTGCCTAGCTGCAAGTTTTTGTATGAACTCTATGTCAAGAAAAATTTGCTCTCATCTCTAAGAGTGAATATATGATGCAAATGGTCTGAATGTGTATTGGACAACTCCTATAATACCAGTTGCATACAGGTATATCACAAACAAAATAAACCTCTTAAGACATGATGGCAGTGCTAAGTCTTTGGCTTACTACAATACTAAGTGTGCAATGCTCATACACATGATCAGTAAATGGTCAAGTCCAATCTACAGGGTGTACATTTATATTGTGCCATATGTTACTGAGTACTGACCCCATCTCAGAATTCAGTAAATCTGGTGACTGTTTCAAGCCGAAGGCCCTACTAGAGCTTGATTTGGAGTAAATCATATAATAGAAAGATATTTTGCTGTTAATTTATGTTCACAATTTCATTAATAATACATTTCAATGATACTTGGTAACAAATGGGACATACCTTGAACTCTTGATGTAACAAATTCCAGTTACCGTACATCTGTTGTGCATGATTCTGTTGCCGTTATAGAGATTCATCTGACGAAACTATATTTTTTCAATGAACTAGATTGGTAAATTTGAAACTATATAAGTGTTTTACAAGTATTTGATATCAAAAGCATAATATATTGCTAATCTAAAGCACTGCAGGGCATCCCATCACCAGCATATTATAATACAATTCAAATAAACATGTGGAGATATACTGAATTGAATTCCACTAAATATTTTTTTTCAAAACCCACTAATCCTGTCTATGAATAATGCCTAAAATATGTGTGATCTAAAATGGTTACAGGATCAGTACATGTACATAAAAAACATTCTCCTTATCATTAAATTTTAATTTCAATGGAGCAGTAGTTTACTCCACATGATTTAGTATTCATATTACAAGTAAAATGGGCAAGAGAATAAATCACAAAATTGATTGCAAAACCACTTCCAATACAGTGTCAGCATTTCTGTCAACTTAATGTCCATCTTTCTGATCTCAACTTCATGGCACTTAAGCAAATATCGAAGAATATAAGTATCTCAAAAGAGTAGAGAGTAATACAAAAGATACATTGTATGTACCAGACCGGATGAAAGTAAAATTTGTCCACTCGTGTATATTGGGGCTCCAAATTTCACATGGGTATAGTAAACATGGATCTCAAAATGTTCACTCAAGTTCCCAGTATCTCAAAACGCAACTGGGGGCAGATTGGCTCATCAAATTTGGCGGAACCGACCCTAGGAAAAAAGTTGGAAGTGAAGCCCTGTCTATGCCACTTCTAGGCTAGGACATAGAAAACTTTCATTGGTTCGGGTATTCATACTATGTAGTTCAAGTTCCTACCAACCTTAACAAGTTATTTATCTGCATAAGGACTATGGACATGCATTGTCTTCTATCTTCACCCATGTAATCTCTACACAGCAGGCAGCAAGAAACTGTCTAAAAAATTCATTCGGTTTTGACAAAGTCAATACGAGTGGATGAATACATGCCTACTTGATTTTACTGTTATAAGTACATGTACATACATGCATCTCATATAAGAAATAACAAAGCAATGTTCTTGCCTGGATATTAAATACATGATTACGCCTTCATAATGCATAGCCATCTATGTTTCCTATGCTTTGTGCGGAATGACTTTAAACGAAAGAACTCTGGGGCACCAACACAAGTTCCAAATCCATTTGGATAATAATTATGTCCAATTATACAAATTAAAATGTTGGATATCTATACATCAACCTCACATCAGCCCTCCAACAGCCTAATAACATGATTGAATTTTTAAACGTGATCTTTTTGCCATTTTGACTTTACATTGGAAAATAAATACAAGTATTCAGAGAGATATCAAGGGCAAAGACCTTTCAAAGAATACAGGAAATGACTCAAATTGATGGCTTGTTGTAAAAGGCATGTGTCCATAGATGGTGAATAAGCTTCTTAGACCACAGAATACAAATCACAGATAGTATGGAGATCAAAATCATCTAAACAAAAAAAGAAGGTGATTTTCCATGGTCTTCAAATGATAGCTTATAATAATAATCACAATGTAAAGTACTTAGAAACATAAAGCACTATACAAATGTGACAATTATTATTATCATAATAACTTCATCTACATGGGAGAAAATGGACACAGCCTATTAAGCACCCTCAATAGATTAATATCACCATTTTTCAAGATAAAAGTAAAACAATTAATTCTTTCCCTGTATATCTTTCACATGGTTCCGCTCATTCTGGAAGCTTAATCTTCTCATGAATAAGTCTGATCGAAAGTCATCAAATACCTTACAGAAGGGTACAGGATCGATAGTGCGAGGTCAAAGTTCAAATACTCAGTCCCACATGGAGGGAATGCTGTACTTGAAAGGTGGAATCAACAAGGGTCCCTGATATAAAAGCTCTGTCGTAGATAACCTGTGTGTATTATCTCGTTTTCTCCTTCAGGTGGTACTTTCCGTTCAGAATCTTGACGGTTTTCTCTTGAGCACTGATATGGAACAAAACAAACAAAAAACAAAATTGGAGGAAATATTAGTGAGAAAGAAAGTTAGGCATTTTTAGCATGATGACATGCAATACAGGTCGTTAAACGAAACTGGCAATACATGTAAACAGCATTCTGCAAAACAAAGGAGAAATTAACTTAATACTGAATACTGAATACTGAAAAGCTCAAAAGAAATTACTAATTAAAATCATTCTCTTTCAGAACAATAACAACAACAAAGAAAAGAAATAAAAAAAATTTTTAGTCCATATTTCACATTGCTTGTCAGGTATCATAATCACAATATAGTGGGACTAATTATCTATAAAAAATCATGTTGCATTCTATGGCAGAGAAACAAAATGATTGACGTAATCAAAAGAATTTGAAAAAGTAGAAATATAGATACAAACAGATTTTTAAAGAAAGAATGTACTATCGGATGAAAGATTGAAAATAGAAGTGTAATAAAGTAAAATGATGTAGGTAAAGAGTAGGGAAGATTTATATAATACTGGATGGCTTTGAGTGTGATACAAGAATATATTGCTTGAGCTATGACACTATTGAATGAGTCAGAGACAAGTCCAATATTGTCATAGCCGCCATAACGAGAGCAATATATTCTTGTATCACACAAAAACAAAGACATACAATGTTAATATTATTATCTATATCAGACTGCATGACTAGCGAAATAACAAAATTTGACTTTGGTAAATATGGCTTTGTTTTTGTGCGATATTGATAGTTGAAGTTCCTGGATGACTGAGCAATATGAAACACTATTGGTCAGTCATCTGGGTACTGCGCTACAGATAGTGAGTACACTGATATATTGTACCACTTGAAAGCCTTATATAGATTAAAATTATCAGTACATTGGCAGATATTTTGTGAGGAACCATTATACAATAATGAATGGTAGGACAAACATCCAGCTGAAGTGACATTTAAAAACCAAAATCAATCTGACTAAACCTTACCTTCCCGGTCTGATGATAGAGAATCGTCCCATGACTGACAGGTCAACTACGGTAGAGCCTTGTCTTGATTCCTCGGAATCACTCAACACTCCACCATCAAACACAAGATCAATCTTACTCCATAGGTCTTCAAACTCCTGCATCATAAAAAGAAGAGAATAAGGAAAAATTTATAACTTAGACACAAACTAACTCCAAAAAAACGTAAAACAAAAACAGAAGTCCAAACCAACTGATATTTTGCTATTGTGAATACAGTGCTTCTTTGTATGGTCTGTAATCAGCCTTGTGTCCGTCTTGCTACATTTAGCATCACAGAGGTATTAGGGATGTTGGTTACTTACATAAAAAAGCATCTTGTATTATCTGCTCAAATTAGCACATCAGGTTTTTAAACATTATCACCTAACAACTGTATAATAAGTTGATATCACACATGTTAATGCCTTTGAATGCAATAAGCAATCTTTGCTCCAATCTACATATTATGTGATTGTAGTATTTTGTTGTTGATTGTAAGTAGGCCTACCAAGCAATGTAGTTGCGTTAAACTGTTGCGGTATTCTTTTTTCAAATCCATTCTTCTGTTATATAATTCTGATTGAGAACATATGGTTATGTACCACGCCTTTTGGTTTGTCACTATAAAAAATCAGAAAAGTTTTCCCTTTTGTATGAGGTAAATATCCATCTACATGCATCAAAACTTTCAAACTTATTTTTTCTAGCGTTTCAAATAGGTTAACCGATTTGATCAACATAGAAGCTTTTGTATAGTTGGTGAATGAAAATGCTACCAGATTATCTGCTGAGAGCAAAAGGTTAATGCCCCTTTGGCTCTAAACATACAAGATGTCTTTAAACAGAACTGACCTTGACAGAGAGAGTACTTCTTTGGGCCGAGGGGTTGGCACTCGTCAGCGCTATGGGTTCACCTACTGCTGCAGCTAGCTGCTGGATGAAGGGGTACTCGGGAATACGAAGGCCGATAAGCTCGGAGGAGGGGTTGAACTCAGGATTGAGCTCGGATCTTCTCCTGAAGAGGACCGTGACAGGTCCAGGAAGGAGGTCTCTGAGGATGTCGTCAGAGACGGTCACGTAGCCCCATCTGATGGTTGGAAGGATAAAGAAAGAAAGTTCAAATTGAGTCTACGTTCATGTACTTGGCTTAAAGATACTATCAGCCTTTTCATGAATTTCTTAGATAAGTCTACTATGGTGAAAGAAGCATTCAAAGGACAAATTTCTGCATGAACAGATATTTTGAGTGGGAAATGTATAACACATTTAATGCTGTGAGGTTTTCATGATGGGTTCATTTACAGAAAAATAAGCCTATATTGATTTTGAATTCATTTTCTATGTGTCTATCAAAGATGCTTTCAAAAAAGTATCACATTTGAAAGACTGAATAGTGAATGACTTAAAAATGTAAGTGATCACAATCTTCTGGTTCTCATATTAGGTGGCAAGTCTGTAGGCCTACAAGTCTGTATTAAGAATTTGGGAATCTTTCCACAAAACTATCATAAGACATTCCTTTGAAACAATTGTCTTTATTATTACGCTTTTTCAGTGGGTTTTTTCAACGAGATTTGAACATAAGATGTTTTGATGCCCAAGTATTCTATACTTCTGATCACTTAGACTTACCTGTGAATGTCTTCAATACAGTTGATACAAATAGCAATGGGCTTGTTCCCATTTCTGCCTTTCACTTCGTAGAGCTTCTCCACTGCTTCTGCACTCTGAGCCAAGGCTGCCAGGCCATAGATGGTGTCAGTGGGAACTGAGATGACATTGCCACTCATCAAACTGTTTGCTGCCAGAGCTACAACACCCCCTAGGCAATCTGAATTGCTACCTGAAAGATAAAAGAATAGTGAAAAATATTAAAAAGGATGAATAATAATGAAATGATGAATTGTTTAGATTACAGTCGCTAACTTAACACATATGTGTGCTCCCGCGCCCCACCGTATCGACGCGACGGTAACCAATTGTATTGTGCAGCAGTTTGCCGTGAATCCCGTGAGAAAGTGTATATTATAAGTCTTTGTTTTGGGGAAAAATATTCAAAAAAAGATAAGAAAATTGACACAAAACAGAAAGAAATAGACTTAGACAGCCTATTACAACTTTTCATGACCATTATTTGAACAATTTTACTGTCCATTTTCGGTATGCTTTAGTAGGGTATCACCACGCCGGAGTTACGGGTCAAAGTCTGGATACACTTCTGAACTAGCGCCAGGATTTCTTTCATGGACTGGGTGGAGGATGGTGTTTACTTTTAAATTCCAACCAATGTTTCCTTTTGACAAATTGACTTTCACTTTTTCAGTCTCACAACTTTGATCACTGACACTGTTGCATGTTGAGGGTTGTGTTGGTCAACAGTTTTAAATTTTTATAAAAATATATGAAAAAGAAGCATTGAATTGACATGATCATTATTCATTATCATCATCATCATCATTATCAGCAATAACAACAACAAAGTTGATATCAAGTTCACGCCTCACGTCATGTCACGCCATCCACGAATAACGAACAAATACCACACACAAATATCTATGGCTGGGACTGAAATATTTCTCACCTAATTGAACAACATTGGCCATGTTTTTCCAGATTTCGGTAACGTTTCCACTTAACGACCGACACAATGATTTCCAAATTCTACAGGAGATCATATATCACATGTATCCTATTAATGGTTGAATGAAACTTGTAATTTGAACGTGGATCTTGTTAATTAAGTCCGGTTCTTTCACGGAACTTGCATCACCTAGAGAAATGCAGTGCACGCGGCCATCTTGAATGTTGAATATTCATTATGACTCATTAGCTCTGCATTCCATTCACACTTTGGACCAATTGGAAACGTCCAAAGTAAGTGACATCATGTTTATATGCATATCTAATATTGGGTTTACAACCACGCCTACATTTGTCGATGGTCGGCTGTTGATGAGAATGACAGAAAATGGCTAAACTTTGGAAAACACATCAATTCCACATCTGTTTTTTCGCTTTTGGAACAATTTTATTGACGATTACTAACGGAAACCTTGTGTCAGAATGTAATGAAAGATGTTCAAGTTCAGTGGTAAGTGTGATTCGGGTAAATTGTTTCAATTTTCGTGATTGTTTGAAGTCGGTGGTGTCGGTTGTTTTTGGTGAGGGGCTCAGTGGTAGATGTTTCGGGGAGCGGATCCACTACCTGTGTTTCCGCCCAAGGTTTCGGGAGGACGGAAGGGTGGATCGCTGTATGTGTGTGGTTCTCGCTCGCTCGTGCATCAGCTGTTCAGAAATGTCATTGACTGCAGATGACTTTTGTACAAGTGACTCGCATGCACAATACAATTATGTCAATCAATGATGTAGCATGTTTTAAGATATTCACATGTATACGTAAAGGTATTGTCTTTGTCAATTGTTGGGAAATAATTTCAGTGAATGACTTTGCATGATTTAGAAATAGAAATGATGTTAGATTTATTGTGAATGAAATAAATAATGTTCCTCCAGATCCAGAGTCCAGGACCAAGGGAGGATAAGTTCATGCTGGCGCATGCCAAGGAATAGACAGAAATAACCGTCTGATATGGGTCATTTCTTTAATAAAACTGACATTTGTTGATATTATGTATAGAGGCGATCAGACTCAGAGGAGCCAGATGCAATCTCAGCGGAACAACCGTCGATATCAGAGACTGAAGCTTTCCGTCTAGCCAAGGAACAGTCATTTATTTTATGATACTTGGTACTTGGTTGGTTGGTCCTCCAAAATACTTGTCTGAGTTTTAACTGGAGGTGCAGATGGGGTGGATTAATTTGGAGATGGGATGTGTTTAGTTTAAAAACTTTATAAGAACAAGTGTTTTTTTATTTCTATATCTGAACATTTTCACATTGTACATTACTACATTCACTAATACCAGAATAGAAAAGAATGAAATGCCGATAATACCCCCCCCCCCCCAAAAAAAAAGCTTCCTAACAAAAGTACTTGTAAATAAACTATACTGTAGGTCCTTTTAATAGCAATATTGAAAATTTGAAATAACAGCATGAGGAATGAACATTTCTGCATTGGACATGTGTCGCACATGGTTGTAATTTTTGTTTTGAAGAATTCCTTTTTTTTGCCATCATGGTTCCTTTTTTGGGTTGGCAGCTCTGCTTGACCCCCCCCCCCCCAAAAAAAAAAGGAGATAATGATAAGAAGATCTACGAGTAGTCTAAACTTGTTGGTTTGTCATTGAGATTGAGAAGGACATCCTAGTCATCCTTTATGTATATTCTGTTTCAACCACAGCTGTTACTTCTCTGTGACTCACTTTATCTTCCATAAATTTTATGGCGTTTTTTGTTTCAGGATGATATTTTTCACATCCTTCTGAGTACGAGTCAAAATCAATTTGCATAAATTTACACAAGACCAAATGCTTAGCAATTGATATCGGGTCCTGATAAGTATATGTAGATAATAGACCTACACTGTACATGGGAGTAGAAAAGGCTAGTAGTTTTCACTTTTCAGTAGTACTTAGCGGGGAATTAAAATCAAATATGCACAAATTTTTGCAGTTGGTATCAAAAAATGTTTATGAGTTTCATGACTAGTGGTCTTGCAAGATAAAGCCTTTCACAATATCAATAACTTCCTCCTCACTAAAATATAAAAAAAAGAAAGAGAGAGAGAGAGACAGAAAAAATTTAACTTCCTCTGTGGTGAAATCTATCATATGAATGGAATGCTCAATTATACTTACCGGTATACACTGTAATGCAAAGCCGAGTTTTGTTTTCAGATTAACATTTTGACCTTAGCCACAATGGGTCAAAGGGGGGGGGGGGGGGTAATTTTGAAAGTGCAGTGGTGATATCAAAAGCCGCAGTATATTTCCTGCCAAGATAGCTTCTCCTCCTGGATATGAATACTTACTATAAGTATGATATTTCAGAGTCATTGATATTTCCTCTTGGTTTGAATAAACACATGGGAAGTTACCTTATAATACAGTCTGGGTTCTTCTACATGTACATTGTACATGTAGTAATCATGGTTGTACTTCATGTTGTATACCAAGTTTTGTATAAAATGTGATGGGACAGTACTTGTTTGGGGAGCATTGTCATAGTAGGCTTTGCACTGTATGTATGTAAATTTGATGTAAAAATGAATGTAATGGATGAGCAAGGAGGTACCAGCACCCCTTGGTACATATATGAGTGACCATAGCGACCAATACAGTACGGTACATGTTTTGCCATCTTGCTTCAGTAGCTTGGTTGCATGCTCGGAGGAATGGGCCCCCTATGGTGAGGTGATGGAGAGGGCTGTATCAGGTTAATTGTTTTTGGCTTCAGACGATGCAATAGTGTAGGCCTGGTCACTGCATGTGTATTAAAGATTGCAGATCATGGAAATAGATGTTGGGACATTTGTTCATTTTAATAGATTTTCTGTGAAAAAAGATAGTGTTCTGGATTACAATGGTTTCTACTTCTGTGCAGTATACTATTAAAGCAGAATGAAATTTCCACATGTTTTAGATGCAGTTTCTTTGTTTGACATATTGAACAAGTAAATGAGAATGAGCAGTCACCTCCAGTATCAAGTTTATGGTCACTTTTTTTATTAGATGCATTCCTAAGCTCCTAAGGTAGACAAGTACTGTACAGTACATGTTAAACCAGACTATTCTACTCTGCTCAGCATGGGATGCAGAGTTATTAAAATTCTGTGCACTTTTGTTGCCATGGTAACAAAACCACAACCTTTCCTCTTGTGCTATAAATGGTCATATAAAGTGCCTCACTATAAATTCTGAGGGTTGACCTGAAGAACTTGCGTCATATGAACAGGGTCCCTCTTCGGAGAGTCTTTTCACCTTGATCACGGGAGTAACAGATTTATGGGAAAACCCAAGTATTTTGGGAATTTCCAATTATGGCTTGAGTGACTGGGTGGATGATTCAGAGTGTGTTTTTATGAGCACATAAATAAAAAGGTCACTTTCAATGCACTCTAGAGATTAATAACTACCAAGAAGTTGGTCAACTTTTCAGAAAGTTCATGAATAAGGATAATGAAGGGTCTAAAGACTAAACTTCTACAGACACCAATGGCAGATCATTAGGTAGTGAAATGCAGAAATTGCTCTGCGTTCGCTAAGCCACTGTCTCTTTACCTATACATGTACCGGTATATTTCAGTAAAAAACTTTGCCTCCAAATTGATGTCATCCAAAAACAAGCAAGTCTTGAGACTGAAAATCTCTATTCAGACTTTTAATTAATGTGCATTGCTCTTACATGGAGGTTTAAAAGCCTACTGTGTAACTGTAAACAAAGTTACAGAACTAATCAAAGTATTTGTTTTGGTGTATGAATATGTCCTACATGTACAAAGGCTATGTATATATGCCTAATGGGAATGTTGCTCTCATGATTGTGAAACGGCCGTAAGAGTTCAAAGCAATGATCTCTACCCGTCTAAACATGACAAGTTGAAGGGGACCTTGTCTCCTGTCTAATGGCGCAATTGACACACCTCTGGTATTCCCTAATCTCCAATGTCACTCAGAGCCTGGTAAAGTTCAATGCCCTTGAGTGCCAGAGGGGGAACTTAACAGACTAATGGTCTATTTATGTTATGCGGGGATTAATCAATGTCATCTGTCGTCTAGGAATTTTCTCTTTGTGTTTATTAAAAGTGGGAAGAATGAGTCAGGATCATGTGGTTTTAAAAGAAAAGATTAGGCCTTCATGAATGACAATTTTAGTTAGAATGTGAAAGGGGGGTATAAAACTAGATTTAACCTTCATGTTTTGTGTTCTTTGTCTCAGAATGAAGTTAGTTTCATTGTTAAAAATAAAATGAAAGAAAGAGAGAAAAAAAAGATAGAATGAAAAAAAAAGAAAAGAAAGAAAAAAGAAAGAAACTAACAAACTATTAAGGAAGATATACAACTTGATTTAATTTATAAGATTTCAAGATTTTAGAAATTAAATTAATTTTACAAATTTAAATTTTTTCAATATTCAGTATAATGAATACCAAATAAATAAATCTTTTTATTCTTTTTTTATTCATTGATCAGTACTCTGGAAGATTGCACGATTTTAGGGAATTGAATGTGGATTCAGAATAACAGTTTGCATGTTTCCAGCAGTCCTGGCCTTTATCTTTTTTTTGGAAAAAAAGTAGACCACTTGTTGGCACCTTGATTTGTGCATTTATAAATGATCTTCAAACATGTTTATTTCTTGATATATTGTGGAATTAAAAGATGATTCCTAATTGATTCATTTAGGTATTTCTTTTCTTGTGCATGAGGATGCCCAAATCTTTCTGAAGTTGATGCGTAAATATAGGCCTGCTCCTACATGTACGGTCTATGTAGATGGAGACCAATACTAATGCCTGCTTCTGGTATTCCATCAAAGTGTTCACAAAAAACTACTTGTGACATGCAACACACATGTGCGTCATTATCACCATAATTTGAGATAAAATGTTGAGCACATAAAACCTAAGTTACTTTCACCAAGGTTTCACATTGGTGACATTCCAGAGCCTTGTTGGTTGCTAGGCAACAGTGACCCACTGCGTACAAGGGGGGCTTGACCTCAAGTGGGTTCAGATAGATAAAAGGGAAGGACACCATTGAAGTATTTTATCACAAAAGGATAGATGTACAGTATGAGTTATAATCATACAAGTTTGTAGATTTATCCCAGTGGTTGGCAAGGATTATATGGGCTCCAATTTCAGAATAAGATGTATACATGATGTACTGTACATTATTAAATCTTGACGTCTCTGTCACATCCCCAAACCGATTCTAAACTGACTCAAAACCAACCAATTATTGGTTATTTATGGTGGCCCTGAAGGGACATCGCGAATAGACTAAATCGTGAAAAATATGCGATAAAATTCACGATATCGTCAATTTTATCACATATTTTTCACGAAGAAATTCACGAAATTGACGATATCGTGAACTTTATCGTGAACTTTTCACGATGAAATTGACGATATCGTGAATTTTATCGTGAAAAGTTCACGATATAAAGTTCACGATATCGTCAACT